CAGCCATGACCCAAGGAAGCCAGCTCCCGCATGAGGTGGTGGAAGACCCTGGCATCACTCACATAGTGCTAACTTTTCAGGTATACAAAATGCAAGAGTTATGGAATCATGGAGGTTTCTCCTCAGATTTCAATGGAAGGCCTAAGAGGCCTGGTAAGGACATCCTCCTAGAGCAATACATGAAGCTGTGAGTATAACTCAAAGGTACAATGGAAACCCTAGGAAATTGAAGAAACCAGGACTGTGGAGTCTCTGCTGAGGAAAGCTGCAGAAAGTGACCAGAAATAGCCCAAGAGTGAGGGCATATGGGCTGTGACCAGCAATTCTACAGGGACAGAGCTGCCCAAGCTCTGTGGAATTAACACATCAACACAACCCTCTCTGGGTGCTGTCTATGGAACTATGGCATTTAGTATTTGCCCTGATTGTTTTGGTTTCGCTTTGGTCCACTTCTCTTCTATCCTGCCATATATCCCTTTTGGAGTGGGAATGTTTGTCTTGTGCCATTTTATGCTGGAAACATTTAACTTTCTTTTTTATCTTTAACAGGACTCACAGCTGAGTATGTCTTGATTCTCAGAGGAGACATTGGAGCTGGAATTTTCAGCAATGCTCATACTGTCAAGACTGTCAACTCTTAGAGATGAACTAAATGCATTTTGCAGAATGAGATGGACTTGAGCCTCCTGGGGCTCAAGAGTGGAATGTTATGATTTAGGTCTAAAAACTACCCCCAAACTCTCATGTGTTTGGAAGTGGAATGGATCATTAGGGTGCTGTACTTACCAGTGGATATATCTGTTGAGGAGGTCAGTAGCTGAATGTGCTGTTGGGAACTGATGCATGGTTAGAGGTGGGCCACTGGTGATATGATGTAGAAGTATACATTCTTATCTCTGTATCCTCTGTTGTCTCTCTGCTTCCAGACAGTCATGACTTAATTCACTTTCCTCCATCATCCCTTCGACTCTCCTGGTTGTGCTTTGGAGCCAGTGGACCATGGACTAAGCCCAGTGAAACTAGGAACCAAAATAACTTTCTCTTCTGTTAATTTAAGGATGTCAGGTATTTTTTCTCACTTACAGGAAAGGTGAATAAAAACATCATGCCTTCTTCTTTTGTAATTAAGTTTTGTCTTGTTATTGAGTTTCTTATATATTTTTAGATACCGATCCTGTTGTAGTTTGGGGTTTTGAAAGGGGAAACTGCAATACAGGACACTGCATTCTAAGATTATTTTATAATACTCACCCAAAGAGTCATATACAAAAAGTGTAGGAAATCTGTCCACACACATTAAAGACCAAAGAATCCAGCTGAGATCCTGGATTCCATAGTAATGTCCTGCATGAGTACAGCTGAATCTAGAGCCCATATCAGTGCCCTCCACAAGTCCAACTGGAGGCCAAGAACCCATGACAATGCCTCATGCAGGCCTGTTTTATAGATCACCTCTGGGAAGGCCCCAAGGTCAGTGGTGGAAGCTACACAGCCTGTGTCAGTGGGTGAAGGATCTATGCTAGCAGGCTGAGGAATCTGCACTGGAGCCAGGAAGTGACACTTAAAGTAAGAATCAGAGCTCCCCTCCACTGCTTCTCAGCCTTTTGGCTAAGATCAAGTATAGAATCAGAGCTCCTCTGAAAGGTACCACAGCCATCCTCAGCAACAGTGAAGTCCTGAGCTCTTCCAACGATGAGAACAGCTGTGTTCCCCTCAGGAAAGCCAGTGTGACAAGCTTCTCCAGGAGACTGAGCAGTGCACCATCTTCCCCTCCAGAGCCAGGAAGCGATGCTCAAAGTGAGGACAAGAGCTC